GTGGGGCGGTTGACAAGGGTAGGAGAGTGCATAGAAGCAAGACGAAAGTGGGCGACTCCATTTGTGTGGCTCAGACCTTCGGGTTAACTTGCTTGAGTTTGGTGTATCTGGCTGTTTTTGCAGGGTGACCGGTGCCTTTCCTTACTGGAGTGGCAATCCAAGCTCCATCGGTACTGCAAAGCTTGGGCCTGCAGCTTGCAAAGGGCACGTGAGAGGCTTGCGTCAGTGTGGAAAAGTTTGGTTTTGTTGCTGGGGTTGTGACCGCTGTGGGGGCAGCTGGTCTTTCTGGCCCTACGAACCGCTGATGAGAGCAGGTGTGTGGGCAGGGGTGCCAAGGTGGGCAGAGCTAAGGGCAGGCAGAGCTTGCAAAGCTGTTGACACGCTCACCTCCCGCTTGTCTCCTTGGTGTCCCCATCCCCATGGACTGGTGCATGTGCAGCTTGAGACCCCAGAGGATGGATGTGCCCCAAGCTGGCATGGTTTCACCCGAGGCTGGGGATTTGGGTTGTTGGGCAGCCCGGCGGTTTGTGCAGCTCTACAGCCACTCGTGTGGTATGCGCCCACTTGAGTAGCTTGAGAGGTGCAGGCACTCCAGAACCACTGGTTGATTGCTCTGAAATAACGTCATCCACGGTGCCAGTTTTAATGTGATAGGAGCATGTGCCATGTCTGCAGAACCAGACTGAGGCGGCCTCTTAAAACTCTATACAATGACTATTCTGCAGCAGTGACTCTTGTCACTATTGGGCTGGTTTGAACTGATGGTGAATTAGAGGTTTTGTGTCCATTACCAGTTTTAAGTGATCTTTCCCCCTCCTCTCCCCTGACTTTGTTTTTTGAACATGAATATGGTGTCCAGAAATCATGAAATGTAAATCAGATGCTGTTGTCTGAGTAATTGTGACATTCAGCTTGCAAATTGATCTGTGTTCACAATACTTTAATCACAGGAGCTTTGACTACTAGGAGGGAGACTTTGTTTTTTGGATGGCAAGAAAAAAGCTATGGTCTGATTTGTCTTTTTGAACTGTCTTTTTAATCCTGGTTATTGCTATCTAATATGATCAATATGTATTGATCATGGTGTGATCACAGTGTGAGTGGCTGATGTGCTTTATGCTTAGCTTTCTAAGGCAGAGTTTTTACATGTCAATATCTGATTTTCAGTTTGTTTGCTCAGCCCTTCCTCCCCACACTACAGCCAGTAATCAGGAATGCTCTTGCTTCTGTTTCTCTTTCTTTTTCCCCTTCCTTCTCTGTTCCCTGGCCCCAGAATGAATGAAATGAACTTGAGTCCTGTAGGGATGGACCAGCTGACCTCATCCTCTGTGAGCAATGCCCTGCCAGTCTCGGGAAGTCACTTGGGATTGGCAGCATCACCCACTCACAACGCCATACCGGCGCCAGGTAATGGGGAAATCTCTCACCAAGGGTATTGCAGCTCATGCTGTGTGTTTTACGGTTATGGGAATGTTCGTAACTGGGTAGCAGTGCTTGCTCTGATAGCAAGTCATATCTTTAGCAGGTAATGAGGTGATGTAGAATTGAGGAAGGGTGGACCATAAACCATTGCTTATGTGGGCAAAGCAAACGGGATGTGCGCTTACCAGGCCTACGCCTTAATGGGAGTCTCGTTTTGTTCTGATGGGATGGTTTGCACTGTGGGTGGGTAGTAGCAGAATACTTTGAAATATGAACTGTAGCTGCAAATCTGTGAAATTTCACTCAGATGAAAATAATGATTTTTCATCTGTAAAGCAAAACTGTTTTCCTAGCTCTTTTTTTCAGGGAGCGACACAGACAAAAGTCCATTACAATTGTAAAGTAGAAGCAGGCCCTACATAACGTATCCAAAAAAGATCTAGCCTCTCAGTGCTGTGATAACTGTGATCCTTTCTTTGAAGCTTGCCGCCTTACTTTGACAGTACCATCCTGTACTTCCATAGGGAGCTCCTGAGGAATTAGAAGCCTCTTTGTTAGCTTGTGTGTTCATAAACTGAAGTAGTTCCATTGAATTTAAATGGGCATTTTCTTTTGCAGGCTTGCCTGTTGCAATTCCAAACTTGGGCCCTTCCTTGAGTTCCTTGCCCTCTGCTCTGTCTCTGATGCTCCCAATGGGTATTGGGGATCGAGGAGTGATGTGTGGTATACCAGAGAGAAACTACACCCTACCTCCGCCACCATACCCTCACCTGGAGAGCAGCTACTTCAGACACATTCTACCTGGTAAGTGGTCTGGTGCTGATGGATGGGAGCAGTGAGAGAAATTGTTTTAAGAGCCACCTGTTTCTGTCCTGAAGCAGGCAAGGCTGACTGTTTTGCAGAGCTGTAAATTCCCTGAGTTTGTCTGGAGTCTGTTGTGTCATTTAGACACCTTTATTTTCAGGTCTGTGTTGCTATACATGTGTACGAAGAGAATTGCAGGGCATTTTCTACTTAAACTGAACCTCTTATTGCTCCTCCCACTGCTTGGTTTTTAAGATTAACAGAAAACAAAGCATGCCTGGTTTCTATCTCAAATGGCTTGTAGTTCAAAAGCTGCTGCTTTTTTTTTTTTTCTCCTGTAGTCTGAAGCAATACTTAATATGTGCATAATAGTAGGTTACAGTAGTTCACAGTTCAAAAAGAGCAAGCCATTAGCTGAGGAGTTTGGGCATTTTCCTACTCATTTAGCCCATAGCATAGTTTTTCTTCATTTTTGTTCAAGGTTGATTTCCAAAGGCCTAACATACTGATTTCTATCTTGATTCCTCTCTTGCATGTGTTTTAGAGTATAAATGTAGAATTTTACGTGTTAGTATATGAAGACACAGAAATTTGAGCTTTAAATATATTCTTTGTTTTGTTTTCTAGCTAAGATTGATGGGGTGGAAGGGGGTAGATGAACTTCTTCAAGGTCACCTAGTGAGTGTTGTTGGTTCAACCTAGGTTAGGAAAAGAAATACAGCAGCCCAGATCACATCCAGCTACTTGTTGACTAGTGGCTGAACTCCAGCTGCTTAGGAGTAACCTTTCCTACTGCATTACATGCCTGCCTGTTTTGTGGGCAAAGAGTAGAGGAGGAGACAGTGCATTTGAGGACCAAAGGTATTTGCTATTCTTCTGAGCTGGAATAATTTATGCAGAAATGTATTTTTTTTTTCTTTCTGGTCTGCGTGATGGTTAGTCTGATGTTTCATAGGGCTCTTCTGTCAGTCATCTTACTCCCTTCAAGGATCCTCATTGTTCAAGCCACAAGGCAGCATTGCATGCAGAAATATTTGATGCCACTGGTTAAATTAAACTGTCCATTTACTGGCTTAGCCTTTTTTAATGGTGTTATACTACAGAAAGAGTATCCATGCTTGCATCCTTGTAATAATGGATGTTTGAATGGAAAACTTTTACAGAACAAATGGCTCATAGGGTTCAAGGCCAAAAAGAAACATGTTGACTCGGATCTTGCAGAATCTGAAAAATCTGTCTCTGCTGGCAGTACTGTTTACTTGAATATGCTGATGTATTTCCTCCAAAGATATTTTTTTTTTTAGCTCTGTCCTACAAGAGAAGTTGGTAGCATGTAAATGCGGTTTAGTTTCTTTGTATCTTAAGTTCCAAGTTCTTGGACATTGAGAAGCTTTCCAGAACTATCAGAAAAGATGTTAGGGTTTCTGATTTAAATTCAACTGGGCTGTTTTAGGAGAATTAACATACTTTTCATGTAAGGAAAGAGAGCAGGTGACTTACGATACCTTTGAGAGACCTTATCTTGGTCCTTCAGAATTGCAATTGATGATCTCTGAGAGGGACAGTTGTGTCACTTAGTCTTAGAGGAAGGAAATAGTCATTGTTAAAACTTAAATACCTAAGCAAAAAGTATATATCCTGGAGAACTGTTTCTACTTCTCCTAGCAAAGATGAACTGGGGATTATCAAATGTTAGATTCCACTAGCAGTCCTTCATCCTTTGTGAGCTACTTCTTGAGAATGAAAAATTACGCCTAAAATGTGAAGAACCTCTTTCCGATTCAGTCTTTGTACTGAGGAGCCTAGGTTAAATGCTGCCAGAAACTTGGCTATTTAGAGTTTGACAAAGAACTAGAGACTTGCTCTGTTGGATGGAAGCTCTGTATTTGTTGTCACGAATGTTGGGTTGGCGTATGTTTGTGAGCCGTGTTTTAGAATTAGTGGTTTTTAACTGGACGTAATGTAAAGAACATGTGTCTTCAGGGATCTAGGTCTTAATGTACCACGTTGTGATGATGCGGTATTTTTGTTCAAGATTTGAAAACTGGTGTCATCTCACACTTTTCTCTTTCCTCCTCTCATTCTAACAGGTATCTTATCTTACTTGGCTGACAGACCTCCACCTCAGTACATCCATCCCAACACTATAAATGTTGATAGCAATCCGGCATTGTCAGTCTCCAGCAATCCCTCGGCCCTAGATCCCTACCAGCCCAGTGGAACCGTGGGGCTGGAACCAGGGATTGTCTCCATGGACTCCCGTGCAGTGAACACACATGGTGCTCAAAATCTGCATCCTAGTGACAGCCACGAGGTAGCGCTGGATTCTACAATCACTATGGAGAGCGTTTCGAGGGTAACCAGCCCCATCTCTACAGACGGGATGACAGAGGAGCTTACGATGGATGACGTAGCCGGGGATCATTCGCAGATCCCGAACGGCTCCCGGAGCCATGAACCTTTAGCCGTAGACACGGTGGGGAGTAACTTGACATCGGACGCTGTGGGACACGGCGGTGTCATTCCCATTCACGGTAGCACTTTGGAACTCCCTGTTGTCATGGAGCCTGACCACATCTCTGGGCGGGTGACAGGAATATCGGACAGCACACTAAATGACTCCATTCATACTGTGGCCATGAGCACCAACTCTGTGAGCGTGGCGCTCTCTACCTCACACAACCTAGCTTCCCTAGACTCAGTAGCCTTGCACGAAGTTGGTCTCAGCCTCGAGCCGGTGGCGGTGTCTTCCATAAATCAGGAAGTAGCCATGGGGCCAAGTCACGTGGATGTGTCTGCAGACAATCTTGCTTTTGTACCATCCTCTCTGCAAATGGAAGACTCCAATTCGAACAAGGAGAACATGGCAACCTTGTTTACCATATGTGAGTGGGCATTTCCTGCTTTCTTGGGATAGGGTCTGTTATGTAGCTGTTGTCTGGTGGGATGACAGGACTCCTGTTGCTAGTCTTACAGATTTCTGGTGAAAGAAACTCAGTTATTTAACGAATACACGAAAGCTGGAATATCTGCGGTGGCAGATTAACCATGCTGGAACGACACTAGTTGGAAGCAGACATAGTAGGATGTTTTAGTGTCATTCTCTTTGTATCCAATTCCCGTGTTGCCTTGAGGTTGGAAGCTGAGTTCTTTATGAACCTCTTGCCTTTTGTGGATATGCTGGTATTATCCTTTGCAGTGAGATTTTTGTTTTTTTAAGGTCACATCACAAATGACTCTTCTTGCTCTGTTTAAAAAAAAATACACCACCACCGTAAGCCATACATTTCATCAGGTGGATATAGTTGTTGAGTATGTTATGTGATTTTGCAAAATTTTTATTAAACCATGGACAATTGTCATGAAAATGTTGTTCTCAACAGGACCTGCTGGAAAAAAGAGCATAGAGGGAGGGAAGTTTTTAGTATTTCTAGTTATTCTCATCAAAGGACTTCAGTCCAGAGGTTAGTTGATCTCCTAGGAAGAGAGGAGCACTGGACATTGCACTCTCTCACTCTTGTCATCGTTCAAGGAGTGATGCTTGAGAACTGTGAAGTTCTTGTTTGCTGGGACAGAGATTTGAACTTCCACTCGCAGCATGTCTGGCTGCCCACCACTGAAGCGTAAGGCCAGCTTTTATCTTTAGTTTTATTAGTTGTGATAGCATTGCTCTTGCATGCAATCTGGCCCCACAACTGCCAGAGCCCTATGACAGGCTTTCCCTGCAGAACACTTTTTAAGAAATGGAAAGAAATAGTGCCTTGGTTAGCAATGGGAGAGATGCAGTTTAGTGCAAAGTGTCTAGTCAGACATTTGAATTGAAACTTTTATTCTGTGGGATCAAATATAACTTAAGATCAGGTGGGTGTAGAACTATGATGAATTTACAGCTCCTAGAGGAAGAGTTTTACAGTTGATGCACTCAGAAGTTCTTACAAGCATCTGTTGCATGTTGAACAAATAATGATCAAAATACTACAATATCAAACATGCTTATGGTGAAAACACTTCTATTATTCACTTAAGTGAGATTTGATGTGCCAGCTTATTGTCACTATACTTAAAATAGTCCTAGGATGTTTCTCAGATGATGCTTCCCATTGGTAGGATGTTATCATGGCTATTGCATGCCTAGTGCTTTCATGTGATATGCAAAATAGATCCTTGACTTGGGAAGGTTTACATTTTAACTTTTTGTTGTTGTTTTTAAACTTTCCCTGAGTAAAACATGAATTTGTGTCAAGCAGGTGACAGCAAGGAGAAAGAGTTGGTTTAGAGCCTCCCTGTGGTTTTTCTTTACTGAGAAGGTGGGAGACGGGGCCTTTTTCAGAAAAGTTTTTACACTGTTTCTAAGTGGGAAGAAAAAAATGTGCCTTTGCTACAGTCCTAAATGTTTGTGAAACTTTTAAGTAATCCTTTTTTGCTTTCAGTTCTGGGTACCCAAATCAGAGAAGTAATCACTGTGATTTATTTTTTTTTTATTTTGGATTATTTGGCAAGGACAGAAATGGAGGGGAAACTGTATATTTTGGTTCCTGTAGAATGTAGGATTTTTTTTTCAACTGCTTAAAAATATATGAATCCCTAAACCTTTCCAAGTGGAAATGTCACATGCCTAGAACTTGTTTTTCTTCCTCTTTGCCTCTCGTTGGGGCTGGTCCACAGACCCATAGTGATGTGTGCCAGGCAATGCTTAAAAACAACTGTTCCAAATAGTGTTTCTCATTACTCAGGTCTGGTTGTTGTCATTGCTGTACTCCTGCGTGTTACCTGCATATAAGCAATGCTTATATAGGTTCTACCTAATAATTTTCTGAGTACCTTCCTCTCTGTAATTGTGTAGTTACTCAACCTCTACTTTGTATGGGGTCAGATTCTGGTACCCTGATGTATGAAGAAAGTGTCCCAAAAATCTCTTTAAACAAGTAATAATGGAGCTGCCCTTTCTGCCTGCTGAAGACTTCTGTGATAGGTCTTTTGTACTGGAGTTGGGCCATCAAGAGGCCAAAGAAGATCTTTGTGGAGATCCTTCTTAATTAGCTGAGCACCTTTCTTCAGAAGAAGAATGATTTATCAGGAGGGTGGTTGCTGGGTAGGTGTTGGTTGCTCCATTCATAGAGAATTAAAATGATGTAATTTTTCTAGGTGGGAACATTTTATGCTGTACTTTTTCCCAGACTTATTAGACTAAAGACTTTCAGTGGTTTATTTTTCAGCAGTACTTACGCTGAATGACAGATTGGGAAGGTGATGCTACTGATGCTTCTTGGGCTTTTGTTTTTGTTCCATTCAGTGGTATCCTGTAGAAGTGTGCTGTATGAGTTTATTGCAGTGAGTCCTTCAAAAGTGAGGTCAGGTTTTTGCTGCCCTGAAGATTTGCACATTGTCTGAATTTAAATGGAGACAAGGGGATTTGTAGGTTCAAATGAGAAAAATTTTAGAAAGAAGACCTTACTGTCCCTTTGCATGAATATCCTTGAGGTTCTGCATGCAAGAAAACTCTTGTGTTCCTGGTAAATGTCAAAAATATAACCAGTTAGAAAGTGTTTGGTTTGGTATGGCTTGGATTTGTCTGCCAGTAAAGGTCGTTTCACTTGTGATCAGAGAGAAAATGGCTCTTCCATCATCAGCATTACTGCCGGTCTGGGGAGACTACCATCCGTTTTGCAGTAGTTTTGATGAAGAGTGGACTGTCCCATTGCTAGATTCGCCCTGTAGGGATAGTTTAGAGTCTAGGTGATTAATTTACTATCAGGAAGGCAGGTGGAGATCCTCATGTTTGATCTGAGTTGGATAGGAACAGTGACATGTTTGTCGGTGCCCATCTGTAATAATATGGCTCATGTTCTTCTCAATAAAAGCTAGTAAAGCGGACAAACTAAACCAGATAGAAGCAGCCTTTGGCAGGTGCTGAGCTGAAGCATATTGGTAGGGAGCCGATTGCACTGTGGGGGCTGTTGCATCTTTTTAATCCCTGTTGTCCCCCTCTCTGCAGGGTGCACGCTGTGTGACAAGGCATATCCATCAGACTGCCCAGATCATGGGCCCGTCACCTTTGTCCCTGACACCCCGATAGAGAGCCGAGCCAGGCTTTCTCTCCCTAAGCAGCTTGTCCTGCGGCAGTCTATCATGGGAGCTGAAGCGGGTAAGAATCAGGTTACTGTATATTTCTATGCAGCGGTTTAAAGTACACTCACTGACTGAAACCCAAAACCACAGGGATTTTAATGTGGGAAGGAAACACTGCAATAGAGAGGTGGTTCCCTCTTCTCTAATTGCCCTAACTTACATTGTGCAAGAGCTTCTTGTTCTCTAATTACTGCTTAGACTTCAGCTAGACTCTCGGGGTGCTGCCCCAGAATGTTACTGAAACACTTCATAAAGTCAAGCACGAGCAAGGTATGGTGTTTATTTTTCTCATGCTAAACAGCCCAGGCACAGATTTGATAAGAGAATGTTACAGCAATTGCAGTTTGGGGGAAGATAACAATTAGAAATAATGGAGGGGATTTCTGTGTGCTTGTTCATCAGCTTGGTTTGCTACCTGTGGGTCTTCTTGGATGCTCTCTTTGGAGTATTGATCACGAGTGCCTCTTTTTTCCCCCCACCCCCTCGTTTACATTTGGCATGTAGACTGTGACCTTGTCACTGGATGTGGACCTTGTTACTGTATTTCACGCCGCTGTCACCTGGAAATGGAAGAGTACAGTGCAATACCCTAAGGATCTGAAGGCTAGAGAAGAATGTCATTATTGGCTTGCTTAGCATTGCTGCTTGTTGAGAGTAGATTTTATCTGTTCTTTTCAAGCTGCACTAGTTTCCAGTTTATTCCTAAAAGCTGTTCAGTATATTCATGTAGACCTATATATATATATATATATATAAAAAAA